AACATTTTTTTTATCAAACTAACAGGGGGGCGATATAAGTGTCAATAAAATTGTTCAACCCCTAATTGACGGCACTTTTATGGTTTTAACTTTTTTTCCTTGACAGCTATTAAAAATTTTTTCGAACAAAAGTTGTAGCAAATATTTTTCCCTACAAAACTAAAAAAAAAGAACAAAATTCGACCAATAGAAGCCGAGATATTCAAACTTTAAATATTCACTCCTATTTTCAAGATTGCCGCCGACGCACAGGGAAATTTTGTTGGAACTTTGTGAATTTGGGCATCTCCTATGACCCTCTACTCACCCTCAAAAAATTGGCTTGTCAATCCGTTTTGCCATTTTCAAACCTAATTTTACTGGCCTATGTCGACGACTGTAGCTTTACCCAAAGTGTTGTCATTCTGTCAACATCACGTCGTTGTACATCGGCGAGTGATATAAATAAGTACCTGTAAACGGTAGTAAGTCGGCTCAGAGTCGAACTCCAGTGACTGCAGCTGTGAGCCACTCTTGCGACCCTTGTGCAGATGCTCCATTGCGGATTCGACGCGCGGTGATCTTCGACGCTGCATCTGCGACTGCATTGGCGATTGCTTGCAGTCGAGGCTGGCTGTCGACCTGGCCAGCTGGAGTCCCTGGTGCTTCTGTCGGTTTCGGGGCTTGTGATGGCCGTTCGCGACCCCGTCAGATGAGAAGTCGAGCTCGCGCTGGTTCCTTGGATCCACCAGGCGCTTAGATTGATCGTTGTGTCTACTTCGGACAGTCGGCAGACTCTGCCGCAGTTCTGTGCAGCTTCTCACGTTGAGACCGGGTAGATTCGCCACGAGTGCTGTCACTTGAGGCCCCTTTTGGAAAACCTTTTGGAATGACACAAAATTAAATTTCTGACTCAATGCATTCATCGTCAATTTCATTGATTGAGAAAAAACCTGATTAAATATAGTACAATAAATACTATTTTTTCCTATTATATCTTTTGCTGCCTCGGTCGATTAGTGTTACTTTTTTAGTGAGAATATTTATAAGAAATTAATTATTAAGATAATTAAGATTTAAATATATACCGGTTGTTGCACTGACATACAGGTCAGTGTCAGGACGGGTTGCCCACTTGTGCAGACGCACATGGTCGTTCACAGCTACGTAGGCTTCGGTACATTATAATCACTCACATATAATGCGTCAAAGTGAATGAGACTGTGAATGACTATGCGCGCCTGCACGAATAGGCAACCCGTCATACTGACCTGTATGTTGCTGCGACACTCAATAATAGTCCAGTAACTTTAGGCAAAAATTCGACCAATCTTCGGAAAAATTTTAAGTGAGTTGAAGTTTTGCACGAACTTTTATTTAGTCTTTATAAATAACATATCAAAAGTCCCCATCATTTGATTATACGCATAATATATTTCACAGCGCGTAAAAGGTGTTCAAAATTGGTTTCTTGCTAATATCTAGGTTTCTATTAATTTTACGACTATAACGTCTTTTTTAAAAAATAAAGACGAAAAAATTCTCTACAAAATAGGTCTTAGGTAATTTTTTCGTAGGTACACGTAACTGTTTTCGCTTAATCTGGCGTTGAAATTACAAGCTAAGACAGTTATGAGTATTAAAGTAAGTACTTTATTTCACACACTTGTAATTCTTTTGTACAAAATGACATAAAATTATGCTTTTCCTTCTTCTTTTTCTCTCTCTTCTACTTGTTCTTCGTTTTCACCTTTGTTTAAATAAATGAATTGTTAGAGATAATCCATAGGATTAATTTTTGTGGATTGTCAATTTCCTCGTCTTTATAGTCTAGGATCCAGCCGCGTGATTTATACGTTTATCTGTTATTTTATCAAAATGCGATTTTAATGGAAGATTACATATTAGGTCATACATCGCGGCCGGTGTCCTTAGCAAAATCTTGCCGCAAGTATAACCCTCAATTAGAGCTGTTTTAATTAAATTTTTTTAGACAACTTTGTTCATTTGTTTGCGAAGTAAATGAAGCGTCATCTGAAAGAGTGATCTAAAGAACATGAAAAAAATAGGTTGCCACTTCTCAGTCTGCCGCAACCTCCTGGCAGCCAGGTGCAAAAAGGTCCTTTTTCGTTAATTATCACCGTTCATCGTGTATCGAGACAATTTTTACACAAATTGAAGCTAAATTTTTCCTCTACACGATGGAATATGGTTGCCTGCGTAAAAGCTGCCGCAATAGGTGGTTGCCAGCATTTGAATGATCCGCTCTCGCCTGCACGAGCTCTTCAATCTTACAATGTGTTACAATGAAATAATCACAGCAATTTTCTTGAATTTCTTTAATATTACAATAGTTCCTAAACAAGTTTTCAAAAATTCCTTTTATAAATAAACTCCGCCGCTCATTCGTCTTCCGACTCGTCTGAACTCGCAACATCATACTCCAAATCATCAGAATTATCATTCGCGTTTTCAGAACTTCCCTGGCAGAAAAAATTTCTATGAATAACTACAAAATTTGACTAGAAATATAAATTTGTATATTTTTGTTGAAATATTTAATTTTTTGTAAAAATAGTTATTTTTTTATATAAATATCTACGAAATAGTACTACAAATTACAATGTTCTCAAATCAAGAAATTATTGCAAGTAGTATTTTATGAAAAATTATAATTTTATAAAAAATAGTACAAAAATCTACAAATTTTAAAAATTTAAGAAGGAAAAAATTTTTTAAAATTAAAACATATGCTTACTTGTAGACTATACAAAAATAAAAACATAAGTATTTTGACTTATGCGAATTAAGAAGTTATTAATAATAGATGAATTTTGGAAGATTTGTGTAAAAACTTGTAACATTTAACTATAAATTACAAATTTTAATTAGCCATAATTGTAATTAGCCATAGGTAATAAATTTTTGAGCTGTACAAACAAATCGGTATTTGTTAGTATTTGTACGCAGTTGTATCTTATGAGAAACTAAAAACTGAATTAAATTTTTGGTTGCATAGTTTTACGATACGTAAATTGTGATAGATTTCTATAGTCATTTATAAATAATTGTAGTATTCTACAAGTAAACAGATGTTTTAATTTTTTAAGGTTTTGTTGATTTTCAAATTTTTAATATTTGTAGATTTTTGTATTATTTTTTATTAAATTGTAGATTTTCATAAAATACTACTTGCAATAATTTCTTGATTTGAGAACATTGTAATTTGTGGTACTATTTCGTAGATATTTCTGCAAAACAATAACTGACAGCAAGCATGTTCAAAAGCGGGACATAAGACGTCTAAGACATCTTTTAGACGTCTTACAAAAAAAGATGGCTAAAAGATATCTAAAAGACGTCTTATGCGGTTTTAGACATGTGTATGTGGTGCTGAGTAAGATTTTTTTTATAATAACTCGCTTTTTATTTTACAGATAAGTTAGAATAAAGAAGTTTTTTTTCTTTTTGTAATCGCGCGGCGCGACGTTGGCCCAATAGGCCTATTTTGTAACGAGCCGGCACTGGTTTCTGACATTCACCCGACATTAAGAAATAATTATATTCGTATATCCGATTCAAAGTTTTATTACTCTTTTTTAAACTGAATTTGTTTCCTAAGAATTTTTGAAAAATTATACATTTGCGCTGGTTATGACACATGTAGATAATATATGTAACACTTATATCAAATTAAGAAGTAGTCTACCACGTAAGACGGTTGGCTCACGATCCAGAGGTCCCGAGGTCTCGAGTTCAAATCCCATCAAGGTAAGTGTTTTTCAAGTACGAGAAAATATTTATAATCATAGGTTGCATCTTAAGAAACAAGTAGTAATAAAATTTCAAAATAAATATAATTTTTTTTATGTCAGATAAATTATCTCATTAGAAAGTGTTTTAATTCTAGTATTTCCTTGTAGTCTACTGTACTCAAATAGATATAGAGAAATACCTCTATAATTCCCTACTATGTTTTCATCCCCTCTTTTATGTAGCGGGACTATGTAGCGAGGTCCTCCAGTCCTTTGGTAAGATTCCTTCCTTCCAGACCTGATTTAGAATCTCTATTAGACCTTTCCTAACGGCCCTGCCTCCATACAGCTAAGCTTCAAGCGGTATTCTATCTACACCTACAGCCTTGTTTTTCTTCAATCTTCTCACCGCCTTAGCTATTTCCTCTTCCTCCAACTGTGAGCCTATTAGAACAGGCCCTTCTTCTTCAGTTCCCATGCTATTATTTCCTTCCTTGTCTTCCGCCATATTTTCTGTACCTCCGAGAAGCTCCTTAAAATACTTCATCCATTCTGCACCCCCAATTTTATTTTCCTTCCACACCTTTTTCTTTCTTTCCTTATTAATGAATTTCCAGACCTCTGATCCTTGCCTTAGGATCTTCAATTCCTTTTCTTCTTTGATTCTCTTCTCCTTCCTCTTCTGTTCAAACATCGCTTTCATATTACTTCTTTCCTCCAAATACCTTCCTCTTCCTACCTTTCCTTTTCTCCATTTCATGTACATCCTCTTCACTTCTCTTTTCTTCCTAGTGCAGTTTCTGTCCCACCAGTCCTTAGAACCAATCTTCCTTCTTCTAATTATTATTTCCTTCCTTATCATAGACTCTTGAATTATCTTCTTAAGTTTGTTCCACTTCTCTTCAATTGACAATTCCTGATAATCATCCTCCCAGATAGCCTCTTCAGTTTTTTCTTTATAGCTTTCAATAGCCTCCCTATCCCAGCATATTTTCCATCTTGCCTCTTCATTCCTATCTTCCTCTTCTTCTCTCTGTACATTTTGATTCTTACCTAATGCCCTATCTCTTACATCTAACATCGCGACTAAAGGCATGTGATCTGAGTCCACTCTCGCATCTATTTTAAATTCCCTAATTCTATCATGCATTTCTTCGCAAACAATCATATAATTTATTACGGAGCTACCCCTGGCACCTATAAATGTATATTCACCTTCCCAATCACCTTTTGTTGTACCATTCAGCAAGTACCATTCCTTATTTTGAACCCATTCTACTAAGTTCCTGCCTCCATTACCTATTAATGTATCTTTACTTTTCCTCTCCCACCCTCCCTCCTCTTCCTCCCCGCCACCTAATTCTCCTGTTCTGATGTTAAAATCTCCTCCTATAATCACAAGCTCTCTATCTACTTTTTCTATCCACCGATCTAACGTCTCCTCCATCTTGTTCCAACCCTCCCTATTATATACTGATATGATATTTGTTATTTCACCTTCCTCAAGTATTTCTGACAAAACTAAACCTTCCTCTTCCTTCTTGATCAACTCTGATCCTTCCTTCCCCCATCCCTTCCTTTTACCTAAAATAAAACCTCCCTTTGCCCTACCTTTCTTATTGACCCTAGTAGCATTACTACACATCCAAATATGCGTATCCGGTAACCTCACTTTGATTGTCTCCCAACTAACAGAATCAATCCATGTTTCACTCAGACTTATGAAATCAAAATCTGTAATATAACCCTAAAAATCGATATCCTTGTTATTTATTTCTGCCACATTCCAAAATAGGATTTTCCTACCTCTTATCATCGTTTCACTGACCTTCTCTTCCTTCCTAATTTCATCCCTTCCTTTCCTTTTATCCTCCCTTATTCTTATCTCTACCACCTTCTGGCTCACTTCGCTAAATTTTCCTTTGCTCTCCCCTCATCCCCTCCTGGCGCTTGACTACCCCCACTACTATCTCTATCCTCCAAATTCCTCGATACCTCCTCCCACGATTTCCATACTTCATTTATTCTTACTCTCGCATAACCTGCCTTAACCTCTACCCCTTTACCTTTCTGTACCTAACCTTAACCCACCTATAAATTTCTTCCTGTACCTTCCTTTCCTCCCA